ATTAAATTCGCGTTATTGCATTTTTGTTAGTTTAATATATAGTTATATTAAAACATATATTACTGCTTTTCGAATAATGATATAATTACATGTATATATTAAAAATAATGTTATAGTAATAAATTTAGTTTCTATTGCTTTAAAAATTTTTATCTACTGTTTAGTAAAATTAGTTAGGGTATTATAAATATAATATAAATATAATTAAATCGCAAGCTATATTGGTAATGCTGATAAATACTTAAAAGTACCAATAATAGTCTTAAAGGTTACCGATTTTCTTGAAATATTGAACGATTGGTATGTTTATCATGAAATATAAAAGCCTATCGATTTATCCGATATTTCCTTTATTTAAATTTATAATAGTTCTGATAGGTATCCTATACTAGCCAAATCTCTGTTTGAAATCGGAGACATATTGGTTAAATATAGGCCGAAAATATCAGTATAATGACAGTGTGCTTTAGGATACATATCATGTCCTATCGGCATGCCGATATTGCCCCGATATGCCTTAGTTCGACCTGTAATAGGCAAATTGTATTGAAATACTATACGTAGTGTTGTATGAGATGTTTGTCAAGTTGTATCATAAATATTTTCAAATGCAAATGACTTAGCCTTAACATCAATATTATCAATCACGGCTATATTCCAAATATTAGAACCAGTTTGAAGTCTATTATAAGGATTAGCAGCTTTTTTGCACATATTTTCTAAATGACGCTCCCATTGATCTGTATGAGAATTACATTAACTTCTCTTAAAAGATTATAAAGTGAAGATATAAGTTTAGGCTTTCGACATAAACTAGCCATTGTATGAGTAAGCTATATATTTATACCCTTAAAAGCTGTATTTAAAATAACTAAATATAAAAATGCTGAAATTTTTTGTATCTTCACTAAATTAATTGGCTTGCTTTGTCGCTGTTTTTGTTTATCTTTTCTAACAGCTATAGCATGATGCTTTAATACCAAATTATGAACTAATATACTAAAAAAGACCGTTAAATGATTAGGTAATGCATTAAAATATTGATCTAATGTCTTTGAATTTTCTAAATTCTCTTGATTCTCTTTAAGATATGATTTCGATGTCCAAATTTTATTAGCTAACATATTACCAAAATTTTTACAGTCTTCAGATGATAAATTTTTTACTATCTTATTGTTGTTGCTTTTAATATGTTTTAATTTGAGTGCTGCATTAATAACAAAAAGACTTGATGCATTTGTTAATTCAGACTTTAATGTTGATGTAACTGGCAATAATGTTGTTAACATAGGAGGTAATAGTATTGTTGATTCTAATATTGTTGGTAATTGTGAATTAGATACTTGAACTGAGAAGATAAATTATTATCTGAAATAATTTGCAAAACAGGACTTAAATAATGTAAAAGATTTTTTTTGTATTTATATTATCAGATCCTGCTATTTCTAAGATTAAATTACCAAATAGTTTAAGTGCTAATGTAGTATCTTCATTATGTAAACCAGTTTTATGACATGTTACAATAGATTTTTCTATACCAGGTTTACGATATAAGTGGCCACCATTTTTTTCAAAACAATTACAACAGATATAACGTGCCCATGAACTATTAGTAGTTGGATGAATAATTGAAGAAAAACTTTGATTTTTTAATACTAAACAATATGTTTGGCCAATACAAGGAACTTGTAAATTCGTCCTAAAAGATTCTATGAATGCTGAGAACATAGCTTTCCACAGCTATAAAAATATTTATTGATCTCACAAAATAGACATATTTTGTATTGAATTAAACTATCAATTGTTTGAGTTTTTTGTTTAAGTCCTTCTTGATGTAATTTATTTTGATCAAAGGAAAAATGCTTATTGCATATTCCAATCGTTGAATATTATCATTTACTTCTTTAATTGCATTGTCTGCAATTTCCCACATACCAACAAGTTGCCACAATTTTTTTAAACCTTTTGTAGCATTACAACGTTGTATACTACCATCAAAAATGTCTATAACACAGCAAGATGTTAATATTTAAGACATATTATTATCTATAGATAGAATTAAAGTTTCCTCAGTTTCTGTTAAAATATCTTCTAACCTTGTTATAGATTTATCGCAATCATTTAAACTTTCTGGTAACTCATCATCAACATCACTTAAACTTTCAAATAATTCATCATCTACTATTTCCTCTTCTGCTAATTTGCGTGCATTCAATAATGATTCATTATTAAAGGAAAAAATTGTTTCTAAACTTTCAGTTTCACTAACTTCATTGTCAAATAAATAGTTTCGCTATCAAATTCATCAGTATTACCCAATTCATTAGGAAAATCATGTTGCATATAAGATATAGAGGCTTGACTATTTAGTAACAATTTGTTATCTGACATAGTACAATAAGTTTAATTAAAGATCTCTTTCGGGTTACAAAGTTATTTAAAAAACTATATTTATTAAATAATAAATAAAGTTATGCAAATTGTTTTTTATTAGTTTAATCATATGTAATTGCTTATAAAAATCAAAAGTTGGCTATAAAGTGAACATATCTATTTCGAACTTTTTCATATGAATAATGAAGATTTGCAGATCAATTTTACATATGAAATGCATTTGCCAAATAAATAATGTGATTTTTTGATTGACATAATCCTATTACACAAGCTTTTTTTTTTATCTTTTGGTTAAAGATCCTTTTTCAGCTATATATATGTTAAAGACGCTATAGTTACCTAAGAAAGTATAATAATAAATTTATAAATTCTTTTGGTTTTATTATATATAATTCTCATAGAAATTAAATTATAGAGTAAAAAATAAAAAAAAGTTATTATTTTTTAAATACTTTTTTCGATGCAAAATTATTCCATTTTAGAAAGATTTGCAATTGCTATTTAAATAGCGTGAATATTTTGTCGTGTAATATACTATATATATAGTCGATACTGTCTAAATGCATACTATCTAAATGTATAATTTTTTAAAAAAAATTAATAGTAATATGCATTTAGACAGTTAATTTTCTGATATCTGATTGGTTAATACTGTA